TGGCAGCTCCTTGGCCTGTGGTATCTGAACTCCAGTCTTCCCATGGGTTCTCCTGTGCACATGTCTGTTGCTGCATCCAAAATTTCCCTTTTTATGAGGACATCTGTCATCTTGGATGGCTGGAGCCCAACCTCCTGCAGTATGACCTCATCTTAAGTACAGCTTCCATGACACTATTTCCAAATAAGTCCATGTTCTGAGGCATGGAGGGTAGAACTTCAACATGAAAATTTGGAGAGGGAACATGATTTAACTCATAACTGGGTGATCTTCCTCATGCTGCCAAGGGAGGTAGAGAGAAACTTCCAGTTTCCAGGTGTGAACTGCCTACTCCTATTCCCTTTCAGATTTTTCTTTCTCCCTCCATATACTCATGACTCTATTTTTTTTTAAGATTTATTTATTTATTTGAAAGGAAAAGTGACAGGGTGGGGGGGGGATGAGGGAGACAGAGTGACATACAGGTGAGAGATCTTCCATGCACTGGCTTACTCCCCAAATGCCTGCAACAGCTGAGGCTGGGCCAGACCTAAGCCAGGGGCTGTGAACTCCATCCAGGCCTCCCATATGGATGACAGGAACCCAAATACTTGAGCCATCATCTGCTGCGTACCAGGGTATATGTTAGCAGGATGCTGGATCAGAAGTGGAAGAGCCAGGACATGGATTCTGTGATGGGATCCCAAGTGGAAGCTAAACCCACTGTCCCACAATGCCCACCCCATCATATCTTGTTTTAAATGCATGCCCCTTTCCCTGGACTGTTGCGGTATTTTCTCAGTCTTGACTTCCAGTGAGCTATGCTGGGAATAGATATCTCCCGATCTGTTTGTGTAACTGTCTCAGATTAAGGCCCAGCTAACATGTACTGGGCCCTTGTAATGTATTTTCATAACCTTCTACTCTGAATCCTCACCATGTCCTTCTGCAGTAGAATTATCTCTACCTTGTAAGGCAAATAAGGCTCAGAGACATTGAGTAACTTGCCCAAAATTGCACCATCAACAAGTAGTAGAGCTAGAAATAGGATCCATTAGGGTAGGATTTGGTTTCACTTTGTGAACACAGTAGCTGGCACTTGAATAATGAGATGCTATCTGAATCCAGTTCTTATCACTCCCAACCTTTCCAAGACACTTCTCTGCTGTACCAGTGGTTACGTCAGTGCCTAGAAGTGGCCTTGTTCAGATCACAAACGGATCTTGTCCCACTGCATTTGTGTGTAACAGCTGGGTCACTCTTACTAACAACCAGAGCTTCCTACACTCACAAATCTGGCTGGCCTTGGTTCATTTGGGGGTTGTATGACACAAGATACACAAGGAAATGGAGAACAGAGTTGCCTCAGCCCTGCAACCCCACACAACCTTCAAATGCAAAGGATTCTGGACCAATGAGCCCTTGAACTCCATGAAGCCTTCCCTGGAAGGACGCAGTTCACTTCAAAAGTCTCCCTAGCACCTGCTTAGAAAGTAACCACATCTCACAAGGTGTCTTCTTATGCTGTGTTGTGCCACCCCTGGGGAAGAGAGAATAGACAATTGGAATATGGGACGTTTTTAAAAAAGATTTATTTCTTTGAAAGACCACAAGAGAGAGAAAGAGAGGGAGAGAGAGAGAGGAAAGAGAGAGCTCTTCCACGTGCGTGTTCACTCCACAAATGCTCACAATGCCTGGGCTGAGCCAGGCCAAAGTCAGGAGCCTAGAACTCCAAAGGGGTCTCCCACAAGGATGGCAGGGGCCAACTTCTGCTGTTTTCCCAGGTGCACTAACAGAGAGCTGAATCAGGCAGAGCAGCTGGAATCCCGCTAGTGCTCTGATATGGGATGCATCACAGGCGGTGGCTTAACTGGCTCAGCCCCAGCCCCAAATATTGGAGATTAGCAGCAAAACCTTCACCCCCGCCCCAACTTTCAGGGACTCCTGAAATGCTTGCAGGCACAGATGAACCAACAGCCCTCTTGGATCCCCAGGATTTTCTTCCAGCTACAGCAGGACTCAGGTAATTGTGGTTGTTTGTACTTGACCTGAGTGGGGACACTGGGAAGTGATTCCAGGGAAGGTGATCTTTGCCGTTCTTGGATGTTCACCAACTGCTCTGTTCACTGGAGCTCTGAGAGAGCTCGCTGTCCTCCTGAGTGGCATCAGGCCAGTGTTTCCTCCTCTGCCCACAGGTCTGCAGCCTGAAATTCTAAATTGACTTAACTCCAGGCAAGTGTGGACAAAGGGCAGATTGCAAGATAAGTGGGAAAAGAAGGAAATCTGTTCCAGGTGAGAAAAGCGATCTCTCTCGGAGGCCTGTTTTCTTTCCATCTGTGAACGGTGAGGGCATCGTTTCTGATTGTTTTCTCAGGTGTGCTTGCTCCAGTTGAATTGTCCAGGTGATTCCATGCATCGGCCCGCTTCCTGTGATAACCTAACTTCTTCTCAGTACTGAAACCACAAAGTCCTAGGCACGGCTTTCTCACGGTTAGGCCCAGAGTCCAGGCCTGGTCACCCAGCTATGCCCCGCTTAGCCCCTGTTGGCACTGGCCCCTCACCCGCCCTCCAGTGGAGGAGGATTCCAGCTCTGTCACTGGCGGTGTGTAGGGTTCAGTCCCCCAGAAACCGATCTGCTACCAGCGACTCTTTGACCACACTGATGGTCAGGGCTGGTCAGGCCTGTGGAAGCTGCCTGGAGTTTAAGAGGCAAGGTCTTGGGGCCAGCGCTGTGGCATAGTGGTAGAGCCACCATCTGCAGTGCCAGCCTCCCATATGGGCACTGGTCTGAGCCCCCACTGCTCCACTTACGATCCAGCTCTCTGATGTGGCCTGGAAAAGCTGTGGAAGATGGCCCAAGTCCTTGGGCCCTTGTATCTGCATGGGAGACCCAGAAGAGGCTCCTGGCTTCTGATCGGCTCAGCTCCAGCCATTGCAGCTATCTGGGGAGTGAACCAGTGGATGGAAGACCTCTCTCTCTGCCTCTGTCTCTCTGTAATTCTTTCAAATAAAATAAATCTTGGGGGAAGAAAAAAAAAAAAAAAAGAGGAAAGGTCTTATGGCTGGTTCCTAAGTGTCCACAGGACAGCAAGTCAGGAAATCCCAGAAACTCAGAGCCAGAACAAGCCTTGGGGAGTGAGGGTTCTGCTGTCCTTTTCAGAAAGAGAAGCAAAGGCTGGGCCCAGGGCAGCAGCTTGTCCAGGGTCACACTGCTCAGGCAAGTGATTCACCCTGACCCACCTTGCCTTGCTCTTAAAAAAAATTATTTGAACTGTAGAGTGACAAGAGACAGAGAGAGTTCACTTAATGGAGGCAAGAGCCAGGGGCAGGGCCGGGCTGAAGCCAGGAGCCAGGAGCTCCATCCTGGTCTCCCACATGGGTGGCAGGAGCCCCAAAGCACTTGAGCCAGCATCTGCTGCCTCCCAGAATATTAGCAGGAAGCTGGATGGGAAGCGGAGCAGCCAAGCCCGGAACTGGCACCGGGATATGGGATGCTGGCATTGCAAGCCGCGGCCACTCTTCTCTTTCTTTAAAAAATAGAAACAAAAACCAGGCAGCTTTAAGGACAAGGCGTTTCCTCAGTGGGTGCGGAAGGGCGCCCACCTCCCCAGGCGTCTCTCCGACGCTCCGCTCACTCGTGGCTGTGGCAGTCAGGGCCTGCCTGATCCCCCGAGCTTTCATTCTCATCTCAGCTTCGCTTTCAAGGGCCTTTATTAAACATGACTGACATCTGGGCATCCGAGGCTAGGCCCACTTGTTAACTGGGGAGGAATTTGCAATATGGGATTTCATACAACAAAAAAAGATGAAATCTTATGCATTCAGGTGAGCAGCCCCGGCCCGAACCACCCACCACGCCGGGTGAGGGCAGGAGTCTGTGTCCGGCCCTTCTCCGTAGGGGACGCTGCTCTAACCGCTCCCTCGGGGTCACTCCTCGGAGGCCCGCTGCGCCTCACAGTGGCGGACCCTCGCAGTGCGCTGGGGACACGCGGCCTGGAGTCCCACGGACCGACGCCGCATGGAGCTCTGCGGGGATCCGGAACGCTGCCGCGCTCGGATTTCGCGTGGCCGCCCAGCTTCTGCTACGCACGGCCCCTCCCGCCCGGCCTCCCCGAGCCAATCGCAGAGCGGCGGAGCGCGGGGTTGTGGCGACCCGAGCCCGGGCCCCGCCCCTCTTTGTTGCGGCGGCCAATGGGCGCCTGCGGAGCGTCGGCGGCTGCCCGGGTGACTCGGTTATATGTCACAGGGTAGCACTCGAGAATGGGACATGGAATGAGGCGACGGCAATCTCCGCAGCAGCAGCAGCCCCCGCAGCCCCCGCCGCCCGGGGAGGCCCCGCGGCGATGAGTCCCGCTGTCCCGAGGTGGGTTCCGGCGCTGCAGCCGTCCCGTCCGCTGCGTCCCGTCCGCAGCCCGTGCCCGGGGCTCCCGGCGCTGGAACTCGGACCGGAGCCGGGAGCAGCCCCTTTCGCTGGAACCCGGGCCCCGGGGGCGGGGGGCGGGACGGGCCTTGCCCCGCCGGGGTCCGGGAGGGCTTCCCGGAAGACCCAGAGCCCCCTCGCTAGCCCGGGCTGCCGCAGCGCCCTCGCGCCGGCCCGGGGCGCTCATGTGCCGGCCCGTGCGGGGCTCGGCCGCGCCTGGGCAGCAGGGGGTGGGATCTCGCGGGGCATGTCCACTCCCACCTCCGTCGTTAGGTGCATCTGGAGCTGGGTGGCCAATTCCGAGCCGCCTTTCTGGGGGAATCGCAGGGCGGGAACTCGGGTTCAGTTCCTAAAGGGTTTGCCGCGTGCGGGGCGGGGCGAGGGGACATGGCCGTGTTGCTCCAGGGGTCCACTTAGCCGCGGTGTCTGCTGTCCCCGCTGATTCCAGGCACGGCCCGTGAGCGGGGAGCCCCTTCGCGTCCTGCCGCAGCGAGAGGCATGGAGAAGGCCGCCCCCGCGGGGCGCTGATCCCCGCCGCCCGCCCGCACACGCCCCCTGCCGCCGCAGCCGCAGCAGCCACGCGCCCCCCGCCCCGGCCCGGCCATGACTGGCTCCGCCGCCGACACTCACCGCTGCCCCCACCCCAAAGGCGCCAAAGGCACCCGGTCCCGGAGCAGCCACGCGCGGCCGGTGAGCCTCGCCACCAGCGGGGGCTCAGAGGAGGAGGACAAAGACGGCGGGGTGCTGTTTCACGTTAACAAGAGCGGCTTCCCCATCGACAGCCACACCTGGGAGCGCATGTGGATGCACGTGGCCAAGGTGCACCCCAAGGGGGGCGAGATGGTGGGCGCCATCAGGAACGCCGCCTTCTTGGCAAAGGTTAGTGGCTTGGGGCTGGGGCGGAGGGTGGTGTGTGTGTGTGAGTGTGTGTGCGCGCGCGAGCAGTGATGGGACCATTTCCCTCTGTGCAGAGCAAACAGAGGCCATCTCCGTTTTCCTCCTCTGCCACAACTCCCCTCCCCGTCCCGTGCCTCCCGCCAGCCCTTTTCTTAATTGAGAAGTTTGCCTTGGAAGCCTTAGAAATGGGTTGGGGAGCTCAGGGACTTGTCTTCCTGGGATTGTGTGGTGGGCTTGTGCCAAGGTTTCTCTGACTCTCCAGCCAAACTCTTAGTTACTCACCCCCATGTGCATCCCGCAGCGAAAGGCAGAGCCACCAGGTTGCACCGGCCTTGCCAAGGATGCATGAACCCTGGGCTCCCACTCTTTGCAGTCTGCTACTCCTCCCCCTCCCTCCCCAGCGAGTGGTTTATTAAGCTGTGAATGAATTTATAATCAGCCAGTCAGATTTCTCAGTGTGAATCATTTCTACACATTTTGCCAATTTTTTTTTTTCATGACAGTGACTTTCCCCTCTGAAACTTGCAAAATAGCGAACTGTCTCACTGTCTCACTTCCCGGCTTATCGAGGCTCCAAGCAAAAAGGAAGTTTTGGCTATGGCTTGAAAGGGACTTTCCAGCACACATGATAAATTAGTCCCATTGGATAGAGAAGGAGGCTGGGGAGTGAAAGCTTGTGGGTTGGTTGTGTGTGTGTTGTCTGTTTTTTTACCTTGAAGAGAAGCCAGTGGGCCCACTGGGCTTGGTGGCCAAGGATCTCATTACAGAGGGAGGCGGAAGTTCCCTGGTGAGAGTGGCTTCCTTGTTAGAGGAGACATCCCACTGGAGGGGCTGCAGAGCACCGGCCACAGCTGGGTGGATGGGTCCCTGAGCCCCGGGGGCACTTGCATGACTGCAAAGATTCCTGGGCAGGACTAGGAATGCCAGACACAAGACCTGGAAGGCCATCTGGTCACGTCACCAGGCTGGGGACAGCTGAGCATCTGAGCCTGCAGGCCAGGAAGCTGTGTGTGTGTGTGTGTGCGTGTGTGCACATGTGCACGCCCTTGGCGATGTGACAGCCTCTGAACTTCTGTTGTAGTCAGGTACCGTGGGTTATTACTCTGCAGGTCAAAGAGATCTTGCTGGTGCCAGTGGACTCTTGCCTGCCTCAGCGTCAACTGTAATTACCCTGCTCAGCTCTCCGTGCACGTGAGAACAGGGCTGTTTCTCATTTGCAGTTCTGCTTGCAGAATCTTTCCTTACTTAAGAGCTCGGAGCCCTTCCACCTGGCAGAGGGGTCGGCCCAAGGAACAGAGGCCGGATCCTGCTGTGCTGCCTGTCTTTCATTCTTTCAAGATTTATTTATTTATCTGAAAGTCAGAGTTACACATTAAGAAAGAGAGAGAGAGGTCTGCCTTCTGCAGGTTCATGCCTCAGATGGCTGCAATGGCCAGAGCTGGGCCGATCTGAAGCCAGGAGCTTCTTCCCGGGTTTCCCATGTGGGTTCAGGGGCCCAAGGACTTGGGCCATCTTCTGCTGCTTTCCCAGGCCATAGCAGAGAGCTGGATCGGAAGTGGAGCAGCCAGGACTCGAACCAGCACCCATATGGGATGCCGGCACTTCAGGCAGCATCTTTACCTGCTACGCCACAGCGCCGACGCCCGTGCTGCCTTTCTAACTCACAGCCTCAGCACTGACCCCGCCTCTACTGTGCGTGTGGGAACCCCTTTCTCTGTGTGGGAATCATGGAATTTTAGTACAGCAAAGCCCCTTCCTCTAAAGACCACAGGCAGCGGAGAGCTTGCTGCCTCACCTGGAAGCTTTCAGGCCTGGCCACATGTGGTTGTGGGGCAGCTCTTTCCTTAGACTGAGCACAGTCCTGCCTCATCCCTGAGGTCCCCCGTCACCTGCGCTGCCCTTCGAGCTTCCTTTGCGACTCACAGCTCCCTTGCGTGTTGAGACAGCTCTTAAGGTGGAAGGGATTCACGGGGTGGGGGGAGAATTAAGGGACTGAATTCTAGTCTTGGTTGTGCTACATCCATTGTTGTGACCTAGGCCACTCCCTGGCTTCAGTTTTCCCCTCTATAAAATGGGAGTAGACCAGCTTTTGTGTCAGGTTCTTTCCAGCTCTGACACCCTATGTATGATGCTGCCGTGCGGACACTGGAGGAGTGCCACTCTGAGCCCCGAGAACTGCGGCATTGTCCTTCGTCTTCTTTGTCCGCAGGTAGCTCCTTTCACCCTTTCTTGTGTGTCGTGGGTTCAAGACCCGCTCGCTCTCTCTAGGGCCATTGCTGGTTTAGCATCAGCGAGTCCCTAAAACAAGCCCATCTGCAACACAGTGTGTTTCCTGTCTAAATGTCGCCTGACATGATGAGCACGTGCTTTGATGTGATGAGACCTGTGCTTTGATGTGTCGATGGTTGTAGCTGAATGCTGTGTTCTTTAAAAATGTGTTCACATTTTTTAAAATACATCAGCCACCTCAGACTGTGCCCTTATGGTGATCTAAAGGTCAGGTGACAGCTGTTTCTAAACCAGGAGCACAAATGTGGGCAGTTGGTTTTTGAACCTAAATAAAGAACATAACATCTCTCTCTTGTGTTGCATCTCAGTGGTTGACTCTCCCTCCCACCACCTGGTCACCCCTCTGCCCTGACATTCCCCAAACCCTTACCCTGCCAGGGTCCTGAGATGGGAAAGGGCTCAAAAGCCCCCACGGCCAGGGACCACTCCTCTCCTATTCGAGGTTGGTCCTGTGCTCAGCTGCGCATGCTCCTTCTCCAGGGGCCCAGTCCTTTCCTCCTTCAGCCAAACCAGGGTCTTGGTGAGGAATTCGCACAGGAGAGGGCTGGGGGGTGGTAGAAGCAGTGGGGAGCTCCAGAGAGATTAACCCATGTGGTGACTGTGGACTCGGAGGCAGAGGAAGTGCCGGGGGGGAGGTGTCCAGCCACGAGGAGGACTGAATGGCCCTTAGAGGACAGGACATTCCGCTGGCTTCAGTTCTGCCTGCGCCTGCTCTGTGTTCCTCCTCCTCCTCCCTCTGTGACTGCAGGACTCTCCTCTGGGGGCGCCTGGGTCTACAGGTAGCACTTGACCAGGTCCAAGAGCTCTTCAGGGGTGTCTGAAGGACACAGCAAGGATTGGAGGGTCTAGGGGGATGAGACGGGGCAGCACAGGGAGAGGAAGGCCCGGAGGAAGACAGCCGGGTAGCCTCAGAAGCAGGCCCTCCTGTTTCTTCACTGGTTGGAGCTGGACGCTCCCTGGGGCAGAAAACCAGGGTAGATTCAACAGGAAACATCCATTAGTTTCTTGCAGATTTCACTTTCGGTGCCCCATTCTGCTGTTCGTTCCAGATTGGGAAAGATGAGGGCACTTCAAAAGGTTCTTAGAAAATGAGTGCAAAACATTTTTGAAACCCATACATAGTTTTTAATAATATGTGTTTTCAGGGCCTGCCTCTCTTGGAGCACACCTCCAGGCAGCTTTGGCAGGAGAATTCTAACTTAAATAAATCTGGCTTTTCTCTCTTTCAAAAAAAAATGTATTTTAATGAACTTTTTGAAGACCCTCTCCCTCATATGCATGGATTTCCAATTTGTTTGGAAGACAGAGTTACAGAGAGAGGTAGAGACAGAGAAAGAAAGACGTCTTCTATCCACTTGTTCATTCCCAAATGGCCACAATGACTGAAGCTGGGCCTCTCTGAAGCCAGGCACCAGGAGCTTCTTCTGGGTCTCCCTCGTGGGTGCAGGGGCCCAAGGACTTGGGTCATCCTCCACTTCTTTCCCAGGTCGTAGCAGAGAGCTGGATCAGAAGTGGAGCAGCCGTGACTGGAACTGGCACCCATATGGGATACTGGCACTGCAGGCTGGGGCCTTAACCCGCTGCACCATAGCTCTGGCCCTTCCAATTTTTTTTTTTTTTTTTTTTGCACCAAAATAAGCTTATCTTTTAATTCCTTTTTTCCATGAACTTGTTGGAATAGCCTTGCCTTTTGTTTGGAGGTATGAGCTTTGAAGGACAAGCGTTGGCAACTTAAGACTTTGCTGCAGTCAGGGTTCCACTCCTGCAGCTGCTGGCCCTCACCAGTGACTCCCCCCTCCCCTACCCTAGATTCAGAACCATCGTCTGTCCATCCTGCTCAGCCCAAAGTTGTGACCCCAGGACCTCTGTCCCTGGATAGTTTCCTGGCTGGCCCTGGTCCAGGAACCGGGGCCTGTCCTGAGCTGTGGATGCTGTTCCGTGGCTCTTCCTGTGGGGAGCAATCCGGACTGGACTGAGTTACTGGAATTAAGACTTATTCTATGCATCTGCTCTCCCACAATATGGCGCTGGGAGAGAAGTAAACAGCTTCCGCACAGCTGCCTCCAGTTCAGCTAATAAACTGTAGGACTTGCTCCTGATTGGAGGAGAGCAGCGTACTCGGCGTGTGGGCAGCCGAGTTGGGATTGGCGGAGGAGGACTATAAAGGAGGAGAGAGACGGCATGCACAGGGAACATCTAAGGGGAACATCTAGCTGAAGGAACACCTGTGCAGCCCCCGAGAAAGCCGGCCGGCGGTGTGCCGCTCCCCTGCGGAAGTGGGGAATGCGGCCAGGGGGAACTGCCCTTCCACGGAGGTGGAAGGGATAGTAGCCAACCCGGGAAGAACCAGCAGCAAACCCGGGGAGGGCCGAGCAGACGAAAGAACAGCACAGGGTCCTGTGTCGTTCCTCCACGAAGAGGGGGAGCGACACTTCCAGGTGGCCAGAGAAGAGTTTTTTCCTGCCTGGAACCCATGCAGTATATTTCTCAGAGTGGGGATGTCAACAAACATGCATTGCTTTCTCTCTCTCTCTCTTTTTTTTTTTTTTTAATTTTTTTGACAGGCAGAGTGGACAGTGAGAGAGAGAGAGAGAGAGAGAAAGGTCTTCCTTTGCCGTTGCTTCACCTTCCAATGGCCGGCGCACCGCGCTGATCCGAAGGCAGGAGCCAGGTACTTATCCTGGTCTCCCATG